CTATTATATTATCAAGTTATTGGAGTGAACATAACATAAAGACCGGTCACCGGTTAACCAAGATGTATTTAAGTTCCGGTTATGGAATATTAAACCGAGATTCTCTGTCTATATAAGAGATTAAGAGGGTTCATATGTAACAAACTTTTCTTAACAAGAATAATGAAATATTATCCATTCAGTGCTTGTTCTTCGATTACGTTGTTCAACTAACATAGATTTAGTTAAAAAAAAAAAATAACATAGATGAGCCGGCCTCCTCAAAATATTCATATTTTCACGATAAAATAGTAAGTCTTGAAAATGTAAAATGGAAATAAAATTTTCTCAACAAATTTTTCATCTCAGTTGAACCAAGACTCGATAATCTTTGACTTGACATGTAATGTTCTTCCTTGAGCGTCAATAAAATTATTTATAAGAAAATATCTAATCACAAAGTAACATTTTATACTCCAACTCTATATATAAAAAAACATACCTTAATTGAGAGTCTAAGAATCTATAGAAAGCACCATACTAGTGTCTCAAGCGATTCTAATTCTGTTTTATGCTGGTGCAAAAATTCAAACTCCCAAATAGTTAGATTTTCGTAGAAATCGAAACTAATAATATGGGAATACTATTTTTTTTCATTCTCTTAACCATAGTGTTAAATAACAACATTTTCGATATATAAAAAATAATAAATCTTAAAACACAATGTTTTGACTACCATAAATCCATAATGTTTTCTTTAAACTTACAAATCAATTTAAAATTAATTAATTCAATAATTCAAATCAATGCATATACTTATTGGTTGGGCCTTGGGCATTACCGCATTATGAACAAACGCTGCTTTTCCTTTTTTTCAATTAATTGATTTACCAAAATTCTTTTTTCTTCTGGAAAAAAAATACTTATAAAGTGCCCAGTTATTACGGTCAGGTCATTATAAGGCCCTTTTTCTTTTCTTTTTTTTCTCTACTGTCCCCAAAATCTAGGGTTTTAAGGTTTCTTATCTTCCTCTTCCTCCGCCAGATTCTTCTCCTTGCGAAGATGAGCAACGAAAAAGACACCATGAACATGAGCGGTCTCAGCGCCGGTATAGTGCCGTCTCTATAACGAAAGCCTGATTCTTTTTTGTCCTTTTGTTGTTTCTTCTTGATTGATTGAAAAAAAAAGCTTCCCTTTTTGTGTTTGTTTTGTAGCTCTTAACGAGGTGGATCGTGCGGGGCTTGTTAATGCTCTTAAGGTGAGTTCTTACGAGACGATTTGGGTTTTCGATTTCTGTACTTTAGGGTTTGTTTTGTCTTTCTGGGTCTGTGTATTTTTGAGAATTGATTTGACAATAATAGTTTAAAGCGATCGACTTTTGGTATATATTCTAGTTCTTTGGTTTTTGAGGATTGTCCCTTCGTCTTACCTTTCCTTTGAGATTGTTCTCTTTCCTTATTGAAGATTTGTGCTTTTTCTGATTTTGTGTGTTTGCTGCAGGACAAGTTGCAGAATTTGGCTGGACAACACTCAGATGTCCTTGAGAATTTGAGTCCGACAGTCAGGAAGCGTGTCGAGGTTCTAAGAGAGATTCAGGCTAGTGAAATTTCAGCTTAATGAATTCTGATTTGGTTTGAATTAGTTAGCTATTATGAATTTTGTTGGAGTACAATTATCAGATTCCTTTTTTTTCACCGTACCTCACAGAACCAATACGATGAGATGGAATCAAAGTTCTTCGAGGAGAGAGCAGCTCTTGAAGCTAAATATCAAAAGCTATACCAGCCTTTATACACCAAGGTTTGAATTTGATACTGTGTTCATGTTTTATGGTCTTTAGCTTCTTTTCAGTAGTGATGTATCTTCTTTTCGTATCATACGTGATTATAACTGATTTTGATGGGTTTCTGCTTTCCTAACGCTGTTGATTCACATACAGCGATATGAGATTGTGAACGGTGTGGTTGAAGTTGAAGGTGCACCGGAAGAAGTAAAAACTGAACAAGGAGAAGATAAAGCTGCTGAAGGTGTGTGTTATTGATTACTTGCACTGAAGTTTGTGAAATCATATCTTTCAAATGTAATGAAAAAATTGTTTTCCTGCAGAGAAAGGAGTACCAGATTTCTGGCTTATTGCATTGAAGAACAATGAAATTACCGCTGAGGAGGTTCGTAATTAGGATACTCTTATCCTTTTTGTTTTATGTAAAGGTGATTGTCTTTATCTTGATGTATTTGTTTCCATGATTCTAGATAACTGAGCGAGATGAAGGTGCTCTCAAGTATCTTAAAGATATCAAGTGGAACAGGGTTGAAGAACCAAAGGGGTTCAAGCTTGAGTTTTTCTTTGATCAGAACCCTTACTTCAAGAACACTGTATTGAGCAAGACATATCACATGATTGATGAAGATGAGCCTATACTCGAGAAGGCCGTTGGGTATAAATCTTTTGCTTTATTATGTTTTCACTGTTTTTGGTTCTTAAGACATGAAGTCTTATTGATTGTTCAACTGTTTATTCAGGACTGAGATTGAGTGGTATCCTGGAAAATGTTTGACTCAGAAGATCCTAAAAAAGAAGCCAAAGAAGGGATCCAAAAACACAAAGCCTATCACTAAGACTGAGGACTGTGAAAGTTTCTTCAACTTTTTCAGCCCACCTCAAGTTCCTGAAGATGAAGAGGATCTTGATGATGAACTGGTATGTCAATCTCCATATCCAGAAGCAGTTTTATCTATCGATTCAGTTGTTAAGATTTCGTGAAAACATTAATCTGATCATCTTTTCTTGCACAGGCTGACGAACTCCAAGGCCAAATGGAGCACGACTATGATATCGGGTCTGTACCTTGCTCTTTACTTAATTCAGTTCTCTTTGCTTAATTCAGTTCAGGACCTGAATCTGTCCGGTGTTTATTCTGTAGGTCAACCATTAAGGACAAAATCATC